GACCGGGGGGACGGGGAGCAAAGCAGCAGAACACGCGGGCAGCAGACAGCCCACACGCGTCTGGGCTGTCCGCTGCCCTCGGGCTCCGCAGCTTTGCTCTGCTTTGCTTCCCGTCCCCCTGGTCTGCAGACCAGGGGGACGGGGAGCAAAGCAGAGCCTGCGCGTTCCGCCGCTTTGCTTCAGGGAGAGGGCCCGTTCGTAACTGTGGATCCGACATAAGTCGGATCCGCGTAACTCGGGGACTGCCTGTACGTCTATATAGATAAATCTATGTATTATATATATTGCTTCATATGACTTGACATTGTGCCTCTCCATATAACCTTGTAACTTTGTATTAATCCATATAACCTTGTAACTATGTATTAGAACCTAAATCCATATAACCTTGTAACTTTGTATTAGAACCCTATATAGAAAACTTGTAGAAAACTGAATATATATAGTTAAAATGGTAAAAATGTCTTTTGCTAGGAGTAGAATAAGATCTTCCCCCTACTCTCTTTCCCCCCACTCTGTAATCAATTGCCCTGTTGAATGAATGAGGTGTGAATGAGTAAGACTTGGGAGCCAAGCCCCTCCAGACAGCTACACCAGTTGAAGAGGGGGTAGAAGCCAGACCCAAGGTGTCAAGTGGGCTGAAGAAAGAAGAGCAGACATATTGACGGCCTTGGGGTTAGAAGCAGGCACCTTCTTTGGAAAACACCCTCTCTGCAGCACAAAGGGACCAACGGACACAGACCCAGAGTTTGAATCTGGGATATATCTGCATATGAGAGGGATGCTATAAAAGTGAGGTGTCTTGCAGAGGACCCCGGGTTTCGTCTTGTCACCATCGGAGCATTGATCTGGATTGGCAGAAGCCTGGCTCCACCCCTCCCCCATCTAGCTCACCTGGCCAGTGAAGTTAAGGGGAGCAACTCGGTAACAACACAACAGCAAGACAGAGTATGCTTGTGTGTGTGTGCATGAGTGACTTATATATATATATATATATCATATGCATATGATAAGTGTTGATTATTCTGTGTGTGATCAATAAATATGGCATGTTGCCTTATCCCCCTGAACAAGATCCCGAGTACTTCTTTTAAGTACAACATCTACACATAAGTGTTATTTCAGAACAACAGGCATTATTCAAAAATAACATAGTCTGCATCTACACTACAAGCAGTTATTTCGACATGTCAATATTCTGAGCTCGGACACTTTTTATTCTAACTCTTGTAACTCTCATTTTATGAGGAGTAAGGGAAGTTGGAGGAAGAGTGTGCTTCCTCAGCCTTCCTGCTGTGTAGACAGCACCAAAAGCTAAAATTTGCTATTTGATTTAAGCTATGCAATTGACATAGCTAAAGCTATGTAGCTTATTTTGGCTTTAGCCGTGCTGTGTAGACTCGCCCTTGGTACATGAGCTTCTACGGCAGTGGTCCTCAACGTGGTGCCAGCGGGCACCATGGCGACCGCCGGGGCATTTGTGTGCACCCACCGACAACCTGGGCCAGCCCCGCCCCCGGCGCACTGGAGGCGCCAGCCCCAGGCGCGTACATAGCTAAAGCTATGTAGCTTATTTTGGCTTTAGCCGTGCTGTGTAGACTCGCCCTTGGTACATGAGCTTCTACGGCAGTGGTCCTCAACGTGGTGCCAGCGGGCACCATGGCGACCGCCGGGGCATTTGTGTGCACCCACCGACAACCTGGGCCAGCCCCGCCCCCGGCGCACTGGAGGCGCCAGCCCCAGGCGCGTGACACGCACCAGCGCCTGGTGTGCGGTGCTCGGGTGGCCGCCCCGCCCCTGCTGTGCCCTAGGACGCGCGGCCCCACCCCCTGGGACACCCGGCGCCTGAGTGGCCCCACCCCCCGGGCGCCTCTAAAGGTTGGGGACCACTGTTCTACGGCATGAGCCAAAAGCCAGCTAATTCTCAGCTAAGGCTGTAGCTCAGACTCATTCTTCCTCTCTCTGTGAGTGATCTCAATGCCACATGGGACAGGAAACTACACCCCTTCTGCGTGTTTGTTACACGTCACAGCACCCTGCGCCCCTCTGGAGCTGCCACCAGTCACCCACCCATGGGCGTGGCGCCTGCGGGGCGCTGCAGACTCAGCTTGGGGCCACACACCGGGAATGTCTCAGCCCGGCCGAGTGGTTCAGCCCCGCTTTGTTCTACTGGGGGGGGGGGGCCCCCAGCCCCGCCGCCCCCCCCTCC